GGAGTAAAGGGGGGGCAAAGGGGGTGTTGGGGGGTAAAGGGGGACCAGAGGGTCAGCACAGACACTGACGGGGGGTAGAGATAGTTTTCGAGGTGCTGGAGGCCCGTGGGGCTAAGGCCGGTGCTGTTGAGCTCTGTTCTCCCACAGATGGAGATGGACGATGGGAAAGGCGGCACAGGGCTCAGGCAGTACTACCTGTCCAAGATCGAGGAGCTGCAGGTGAGCCAGGCCCAGCTGCGCAGGGGACACCCCGCTGGCCTGCCCCAGACCGGCACCGCTCTGGTTCCAGCCAGGACTGCATGGCCATGTCCCTGCACCTGCACTGGCCTCGAGAGCACCCACAGCTCTTTCTGTGTTGCGGGTGCCCTGCTCTGGGGCATGGGCAGGACAGGAAGCAGTGCCCCAAGGCAGTGTCTACAAGCAGGACCCAGCTTTTGGTGGTGTGGGTGCATGAGATGAGTCTCAGTCCTGTGAGCTGACAGCACTGCTATGTGCATGGGAGGTGTTGGCCAGCCCTTGGCAGCAGGGCTTGGCTGGCCATGTCCTACAGGGAAGGGTGCACCCCTCCAGGTGCCTGTCCCGAGACAGAGGAGGCCGTTGTGCTGGTCCCCACGCTTGGCTGATGCGAGCGCTGCATGGGACGTGAAGAACTCAGCAAAGCTTTTCTCCCAACAGCTCATCGTGAATGAGAAGAGCCAGAATCTGCGGCGCCTGCAAGCGCAGAGGAATGAGTTGAACGCTAAAGGTACAGCTTGGCTCTGTTCATCTTCCTCGCCCAGGGCTCTGTGGCTGGTCCTACCTGCAGGGCTGCTGGCCACCCTGGCAAGCATTTGCCCCTCTGTTCTTGGGCAGGGGGTCTGGGTGTGGGTGCTGAGGTCTCTCTCTCTGCAGTGCGCCTGCTGCGGGAGGAGCTGCAGCTGCTGCAGGAGCAGGGCTCCTATGTGGGAGAAGTGGTGAGAGCCATGGACAAGAAGAAAGTGCTTGTCAAGGTAATGAGGCTGAGATGTCCCGAGGGCGAACGGGGGTGAGCAGGGTCTGACAGACCCCTCCTTCGACCCCGCGGGGGCTGGAGCAAGTGTGAGCATGAGCTCCGGGGTGGGTGTAACAACTAAAAGATGTGAAGGGGGAGCTCTTTCTCCAGGGGGAGGTGTGGCAGTGGCTCTCCTCAGCCCAAACCTTCCCAGGCTCGTGGGAGAGGCAGCTGCCTTAGGGCTTCCTGGGGGCAGGAGGGGCCGCAGGGTGTTTGGCAGTGGCTGAGCTCTCTGGCTCCTTCCTCCCGCTCTGAGCAGCTGCTGTGGATATTGGGCACGTGACAGGGGACTCCTCAGAGAAATAACTCTCACCGTGGCAACTGCTGCCTTTCAGGTGCACCCGGAGGGGAAGTTTGTGGTGGATGTGGACAAGAACATCGACATTAATGACGTGAGTGTCCTGGGGCTGTGGGAGAGGGGAGGTGACCGCTCCCTCTGGGCAGCCTGGCACTGCCTGCCCCCCTCCTGGCCACAGTGATGCCGAGCTCCCCTCTGCTCTTGCTGCAGGTGACCCCGAACTGCCGCGTGGCCCTGCGCAACGACAGCTACACACTGCACAAAATCCTGCCCAACAAAGTGGACCCTCTGGTGTCCCTGATGATGGTGGAGAAGGTTCCGGATTCCACTTACGAGATGATCGGGGGCTTGGACAAGCAGATAAAGGAGATTAAGGAAGTGATCGAGCTGCCGGTCAAGCACCCTGAGCTTTTTGAGGCGCTGGGGATCGCCCAGCCCAAGGCAAGTGCAGCTGCTGTGGCCCCGGGGTGGGGGTCAGTGTTTGGGGGTGCCGCAGTGCCACTGTGATGCTGCCTGTTCCCCTGCCAGGGGCATCCCCACGTCTCCTGTTGGGGTGTGACCACCTGTGCGGGCACGGACAGGGGTGCTGAGGTCTCCCTGTGGCCGTTGCAGGGCGTGCTGCTCTATGGACCCCCCGGCACAGGCAAGACCTTGCTGGCCAGGGCTGTGGCCCACCACACTGACTGCACCTTCATCCGTGTCTCAGGCTCTGAGCTGGTGCAGAAGTTCATCGGCGAAGGTAAAAGGGTGTGGGGGGAAGGCGGGGAGGGCTCCCATGGTGCCGGGTGGCCTCACCCATGGTGTCCAGAGCAGACAGAAGCGCTGTGTCTGTGCTGAGCTGCGCACGTGCCAGGGCTCAGCTCTCTCTACTGCCTGCAGGTGCCCGCATGGTGCGGGAGCTGTTTGTGATGGCCCGGGAACATGCTCCCTCCATCATCTTCATGGACGAGATCGACTCCATCGGCTCCTCCCGCCTGGAGGGGGGGTCTGGTGGGGACAGTGAGGTGCAGCGCACAATGCTGGAGCTCCTCAACCAGCTCGATGGCTTTGAGGCCACCAAGAACATCAAGGTAGGAGGGCGCCAGCCCTGCCTGGGGATGGGGCTGGCCCTGGGGTGGCTGGGGTGGTGACAGTTGTTCTCCCTGTGCAGGTGATCATGGCCACAAACCGGATCGACATCCCCAGCCCACTTCGGGAGCGACTCCTGCGGCTCCCCCCCCACCTTTGCTGCTGCTCTCCTCCAGGCCCGCCTGGACATCCTCAAGATCCACTCCCGGAAAATGAACCTGACGCGGGGCATCAACCTACGGAAGATCGCAGAGCTGATGCCAGGGGCGTCGGGTGCAGAAGTGAAGGTGGAGCTGGGGGCACCGTGGTGGCACCGGGGGTGACAGAGGGGGAGTGGTGGGTGACATCTCCCTCCCTTCCTCACAGGGTGTGTGCACGGAAGCCGGCATGTATGCGCTGAGGGAGAGGCGGGTGCATGTCACGCAAGAAGACTTTGAAATGGCTGTTGCCAAGGTTAGTGCTGTGGTGGGTGCCTCCCAGGAGCTGTGAAGCTTGGAGGGGGACAGTTTTGGGGACAAACACTGCTGTTAAAGGGGGTGTCCCCAAGTTTTTAAGCTGGGAGTGAGATGGGGGAGGTGACGGAGACCTTTCCTGGGGCTGCAGTGCTCAGTGGAGATGGAGGCTGCAGCACAGGGATTGAACCTTGGTCCTGGGGGTGTTTTTTGGGGTTATTGGTGCCCAGAAGGGGGAAGGAGGAAGGGACCTGCATGCATGGAACCGACTGTCTGCTCCTCCCTGCCCAGGTGATGCAGAAGGACAGCGAGAAGAACATGTCCATCAAGAAGCTGTGGAAGTAAGGGCGGGCGAGGCTGGGGCTGCACTGTCTCTAATAAAGTGCTGCTACGGCCATGCCTGTGCGCTTGACTGGGGAAGGGGGGGCTGCAGGATTTGGGGGCACACACACACACACACACGCACGCAGAGCTGCTGCTAACTGGTTTTTATTAGAAAATATCCAAAATAGACAAAAAAAAAACGGTTACACAAGAGGCAGAGCAGGCACCCCTGAGCCATACACCCCAGGAATATGTAAACACCCCCCTCCCCACCGCCTGCGGCCGCCCCAAGGAGCGCAGCCGCACCAGGAGGGGCGTGCAGGCAGGGGCCAGCGGGGTTAAGGCACTTCAGCGGGGCCGGTGGCAGCGTCCCCTCAGCCCAGTGCCATGGTCCCCTTGCTCCCCAGCACCTCCAGTTCTCCCGCTGCCCTGCTGACTGGGGCAGGGCACTCAGAGCCCTGGTGCTCCCACTGCCTGCAGGCTCCTGGGGGGCAGAGCCACTCCCCTCCCCAGACCTCCTATCACTCACAAGACGAGTTGCTAATTATGTAAAACAGCAGGGAGGGGCAGAGTAACCAACTGATTGTCAAAAACTTAACACTAAAAAACTTGGTTACATATAAAAAAGAACAGCTTGGGCCGAGCCAGCCCTCTGAGAACACCACGAACCACTGCATAGATTGAGGCGATGAGTGCAGCAAGAGAAACTCAATATATTAATCAAATACAAACCCACTGTACAAAACGCTTTCTTTTTTTTTTTTCTTCTTTTTTTTTTTATAAAACCTGTTCACAAAAATAGTGCAAAACATCGGGCACCAGCTGGAGGGGGGGGAAGCTGGCATTTGGAATGACAAAACTTTGGTTGAAGAGGCGCAGGGCTGGGCCTGCCCTGGCGGCAGCTGGGCTCGGGGAGGGCTGGCAGGGCCGGCAGCGGCTCCTGGTCGGCACGGGCAGAGCTGTTCCCTGCTGGGCAGCAACTCCAGGAGGGGTTTTTGGCCAGAGGAGGGGAGCGAGCGGGAGGGCTGCGTTCAGTGCTACGGGGAAAGAGGCGAGCGGCACGATGCAAAAGCAGGAGGCGTTAACGCAGCAGAAGGGCTGCAGCGGGACCTTGGGGGGAACCGGGGGACCCTCCGCTGTGCTCTGCCTGGGGCAAGAGCTTCCCGGCCGAGGGGAGCCCAGGGGTGCGAGTGGCTCCGAATCCCTCCAGGCACGTAGGGTTTGTGCAAGTGCTGTATTTGATTCCAGTAAAAAGTACCGTCAGGCTCAGGCAGCAGGGAGAGGAGAAAGGAGCTCCCGAGCCCCTGCCGGCCCCTTAGGTGAGGCGGATCCCGAGCACTTGTTCCAGTTCCTGCCGACGCTGCTGGACCTGGAGGAGACCAGGGCGGTCAGGTGGGGTGAGGGAGCTGCCCTGGGAGCCCCCCTGCTGCCATCCCGACCCCCTGCAGCACCCGCCTGCACGGCCCGGAGCCCACCTTGGCGAAGATGTGTCTGCCCACAGCCTCCTGTGCCCAGGGCTGCTGGTAGAACTCGGCTCGCCGCTCCTCCTCAGGGTTCCCGATCACGTCCGTTATGATCTGAGCAAAACACACGGGGTGAGTGCAGGGGACACAGGGTGAGCACCCCCCAAGCCCCTCACCCTGGCCAGCCCCAGGGTTTTACCTTGAGGTCCCTCCTCTGGGATTTGATCCATTCCTGGATGAAATCCTGGGGGTTGTTGCTGAAGCTCAGCATGAAATCGCGCTGTGTCTTCAGCTGGTTGATGGATTCGATGGTCTCGTGAATCTAGGGAGGTGACAAGGGGTGAGAAGCAGCTGTGTCGCCCCTCTCCAAGCTTCCCCCAGCTCTATGGTGCAGCCTTGAAGCGCCGCCCCACTGCCACCCGGGCTGAGCCCCCGCTGAGTCCCCGCACCTTGGCATCCAGGGAGGCGATCTCCTGCTGGTTGGTGGTGGAAGCCAGGAAGTTGCTCATTTGAGCTTTCAAGGGATCATCCACCTCAACATCGATGTCGTAGCAGGCCGTCTTCTTCTGGTCGTTGGGGTCCACGCTGGGAGGAAAGCGGGTGTTAGGGGGGGACGTCCTCAGCCTCCATCCCGCTGTAGGGGTGGATCCACCCCCCAACAGCAACACAAGTACCCCACTGACTGTCCCACACCCCCAAATTTGTTTGGCTGATTCTTCCCCTTCCCAATGACTTGTGCTCACCCCTGCTTTGGGCTGGAGACCTCGTAGGCCCTGCCCTGCCCTCTCCCTCCTGCACCCCACTGGGGAGATACCCTGGCCCCTCCACCCCACAGCGCCCACCAGCCCTGGGAAGCGCTGCCCAGCACCCCCACCACCCTACCTGATGGTGTGGTTGATGATGATGGGATCTGGGTGCTGCAGGAGCCCCGCCAGCTTCATGGGGATCTCAGAGAAGCGCATGCGGACACAGTTGAAGATCTGGAGGGGCAAAGCAAAGCGTTTGCTGTCCATGGCAGGGGCTCCTTCCACCCACCACGGAAAGGGCCAGGCAGGAGCGGGGGACTTGCCCAGCCCCAATTTGTACACAGCAAGCTGAGGGATGCAAGCCCCTGGGGAAGGGGGATAAATTGAGACTGGGCAGCCTGCAGTGTCTGTTTGGAGCCAGAAACAATGCTTTTTCTGGCCTTACTGGAGGTGGGAGCAGTGCTCTCCTCCCAGAACAGTGTGCTGGTGCCGCGGGGTGAGGGCTGACCTGGCGGAAGTAGCGGTTGCAGTTGATGTACTCCTTCTCGTGACTGTCCTGCAGCTTGTTGTGCTTGATGTAGAGCCAGAGCGCCTGCATGATGCTGGCGCGGGTCTGGGTGTGCACCCCGAGCAGGCGAGCCAGGCGAGGGTCCAGTTTGTACTGTGGTGGCTGCAGGGACAGGCAGGATGAGGGGAGTTTGGCACTTTGGCACTCATGCTGCCTCACACAGCCCTCGTGTCACACACTTGTGTCACTGCAGGCTGCGAGTCTGTGCTCCTTTCCATCCCCACAGCCCCAGAAATGGCCTGATATTAAAGCTTTTCCCCAACCCAGGCCCATTTGCCCCTGCCAGACCTCCCCGCACAGACAAGCCGTGCTGGAGGAAGGGGAGCAGGGCACAGCCGGCACCTGCGAAGCCCCATGGCCCCTACCTGGTGATCCAGCATGAGCAGCAGAGTGCATTTCACATTGACGTCACCGGGACGCTTCACTTGGAAGCCGTCAGTCTCCTGGGTTGTGGGCAGCCGGTGCCACTATGACAGACCAAGGGGACACCAGTCAACTCCAGGACCATGACAAGCCGTCTGCTAACAGGCTCTGGGGTCTGCAGCCAGGAGCAGAGAGAGCCAGCACCCGGTCTCTGCCTCTAGCAGGGGCAGACAGCCTAGATCCCACCCCTGCCTGGCACACCTGGGAGTCTGACCCTAGCGGGCTTCAGCCGAGAGCCCACCCAGTCCAACAGACACAGCTTGATGTGCTCCAGCCGAGGCGGGTGGGAGTTTGGATGGGCTGGGGGAGTTACAGCCCTGAGCACTTGACATCAAAGTGGGCTCAAACAGCTCCTGGAGCCAACATGGGATCAATCCTGCCCCAGCCAGTGCAGGGGCTGGGCATCAGAGCTGCCCTCATAAACCACCCCATGCCTGAAGGGGATTCACCCCCACCACAGCAGGCACCACCACAGAAACAAGGGTTTCTCAGGGCAAAAAGCATGAACTGGGTGCAGGAAAAGCCTGCTCCAGGCAGGAGCACCCCAAAAAAGGTCTGATCCCACTCACAGGCAGTGCTTAAATCTCCCCAGGGACCTCCCAGCTGGGCGGGGGACACACACACACACACACCCACTTCTCCCCACTTGGCACTAGGATGCACAGGTGAGCCTTTCCGTGGCGTCACCGCCTGTGTTGGGACTCAGATTCGCAAATCTGCGGGGCCCAGAGCTGCCCAAGCTGCCTCTCAGAGCCACATCCTCACTGCGGCCCCACACCTCTCAGCTCTAACTGCGTATTTGCGGGCATGAGGGGGTTAAGAGCCGAGTGGCCACCAGCCAGCACCAGGGAGGAAAATGCAGCTGTGAACTTGAGCCCGGAAAGCACAGCAGCACCATCGCCTGGGGAGGACTCAGCACCGAGCCCAAAGCACCTTGCTCAACCCCCTCTTGCAGTGGGACAGGCGCTGGGCTGGGGAGCTGAGTGCCTGCAGGGTAAGTGGCAGCACCACCTCCCATTGCCTTCTGGGGGTAACAGCTCTCCCCACCCTGCCTGGGTGCGGAGCCAGCCCCGCAGCGTGGCCAGGAGCCTCCCATCTCACCTCCACTAGATGGTTGTCCGGCCCGTACAGCTCTTTGTCCAGCTCAATGACGAGGCTCTTGAAAAAGGAGGAGAACTTCCTCTTCTGCTTGCTTGGCTGCAAAACAGAGCAGGAGAAGCTCAGCCTGACACCACCAGCCATGGAGGGCCCCAGCCCAAACACCACCTCCAGCACCCAGTGAGCTGAGGGCCATGTCCACCCCAACCAAGCTCTCAGCACAGAGCACCAGTGCTCCTCCCACAACCAGTTCAGCCCTGCCCGCATCCTTACATCCTCCAGCAGTTTGCCCTCCACACGTAGCTCCCAGGAGGCCACGCGCTCACCACCTTCCCCTTCTTCTTTGGCTGGGGTGAAAGTGTTGGAGATGTAAATCCTCAGCTTCCGCTTTTGCTGTGGAACAGGAAAAGAGAAAGAGGGGATGCTCAGAGTGAGAGGGAGGCTGGCAGCATCCACAGCAGCACCAACCTTGTATGCCCCCACCCCACCCAGCTGCTCGCCAGGGCTGCCACGCACCGTCAGTGGTTTCTTAATGGCCTCCTGAATCTCCATCCTCTTCCGAGCGATGGTTTGGTCCAGTTTGCGCTCAAAGGCAAGGAGGTCCATGTAGGCCTGGGATTCTGGGACCAGTTCCCGAATCTGTCAAACAGAACCGATCAGTTCCTTGTGTGTCGCAATGGGATTGCATCCCCCACGCCAGCCCCAGCAATGCTACTGGTGCTGGGCTGACCCGCCAAGGAGTCACCACCTGAGAGGTCCAGCACAACAG